AATTACTATTGGAAAATGCTTGTCATTCCTCTGTAGCATGTGGTCCCCACTGGACCCTCATCATTTCCTTCACCTGCTCCCCCCACCGACCAAACTGTGCAGCTCTGCAACTGCATCCTGGCCCATCCTCACCCTTCTGCCCCCAATCCTCACATCCTTGTACCCCCAATATGTTTTCCCAATAAAAAAATATTAAAAAAAACAATAACAATTTAAAAAAATTTTTTTAAAAAAAAGAATTACATGTTTGTGGGTTCCCTAATCCTTATGTGCACTCTTTCCTTCTACAGTGGCCTACCACAGACTCAGGCCTGTACCACACTGAAGTTCCCTGGGTTCACTGCCTGCTACCCATCATCACAAGCATTGGAACAGTTTCTAACCCCCCAAAACACCTGTCTGTTCCAGTCACCTCTATAACCTTCTCCCTCTACGTCCACAGACATTTCTCTAGTCTCCACCAATAGTAATAATAATAATAGTAACAATTGCATCCACTTATAGATCTGGCCTATATTCCAGGGCTGCTCTAAGTGTTCAATGTACATTAATCTACTTGAAGCTACACACCCAGTCACGATGTAATTATGACTGTTTACAAATGAGTCAGTAACTTGCTCAAGATCACACAGTCATAGAAAGTCACCAGGCAGGAATCAAACCCAGGCAGTCTAGTGTCAGAGGCCATGTACTCAAACAGTATACTATCCTAAAACTTGCATGCTTAGAAGCACTGTGTTTTATTTCTTTGACCTTCTAAATAACATACCTAGACAATACATATTAGATGGCAGGTTTTGGTCATGAAAGACTTCCAAGAGACCTTCATATACCTATCATTGCTCTTGTCATGCCATTAAGCCAGTTCCGTGCCATATATCAGGAATTAGGACAATACGCTGTACTTTCAATACAGAAAGTTAACATATTCCTAAAGTAAACATCTCTAATTCTCTAATTACCTCAGCCCAGTACTTGGGATAGGCTGGGAATTATGACCTTGGTGATCGAAATGAGGTTGGAGATCATATATAATGGAAGCATGACATAATTTTATTCAATCAAGTATTTATTCATTGCAAATACTTGATTAAAGAAATCTAAATGGCTACTATACATGAATCACACACAATGGAACACCCAGGAATTAAACTGATTACATCTGTAGAAAGAGACAGTGCAAAGGCTCACTGAATATCTTTAATCATAACAAGGCAAGCCATGACTTAGTGTCAACTAGCTAGCACCCAACAACAACAGCCATTTGTTGGTACATTTACTCACTGGCTGACTGAGGAGACAGACACCTGTGAGAGCTGCAGATCACTAACAACAGCTGAGTCTCCGATCTGCAAAATTTCTATCACAAGCATAGACTGGAAGAGTACAAAGGAAGAGTCAAGGGGGCAAGGATCTGAAAAGGAAGCTCCTTTGGCTTTCTTTGATGCCCCAGCCTTTTACTATTTAACTGTTTCACAGTCACATACAAGCCTAACAGTAAATGTGAAGTGTGATTTCTGCACCTGCTCTTTAGAGAAACACCTTCTTACAAAGTGTTGCATCCACCTAGTGTTCAACGTGAAAATAGCAGTCATTCTCTCCACAGCAATAGCAATGGAGCCCTCTGGTGGCAAAATTGACCTTCAGGAACACAACTATATCAAATCCTGACTTTGTAAAAGATTCTTGACACAACTTGGTGGAGAGATGTTCTTTGCCATTTTCTCCTATTGATTTGAGTACAGAGTTTTAAGGGAGTAAAAATGTCCCGGAGTATAGATCTTCATGATTTTTGGTTGATAATTAGGAAACTCAAATAATAGAGAAGATGGCACAGTCTTCTTAGTCCATTTCTGCCACAGACACAGAAAGAAGTTTATATTTTTACACGAAAAGCAAAAATGCACCCAAAGGCTTTGTTGTATTGTAAGATCACCTCTCAAACAGACATATACCAGGATCTTTCTCAATAAACTCAGCCCATTGCCATTAGGTTGGAACTGACACATAGCTGTCCCTCCAGTAAGGTTTCAGAGGCTATAAATTGGACAGGAGGAGAATACCCATCTTTCTCCCAAGGATCAGCTGCAGGATTTTACTCACCTGCCTTTAGTTTGGCAGTGCTACTCTTTATCCACTAGGCCACTCTTTCTAGAATTTGCATAATTTTGAATGCTTCAAATACATATAAACGGAAGAGGGGGAAAATATCTGCATCTACTGCGTTCAAGACAAACGTTCGTGGCCTTGTGCAAAAAGGCTATACTGCAATCTTGAAGGTTCGTGGTTTGAATCCAACAGCTGCTCTGTGGGAGAAGAATGGGAAATCTCCACACAATTTACTGCCTCTGAAAACCCACTGGAGGGTCAGCTATGTTTTGGTTCCAATTCAATGGCACACAACAATAATAGAAAAATACAGCAGAGATGTAAGGCACGTCAGAATACAAACCCACTAGAAGTGGCCTTCCTCATCGATGAGGGAAAATAAATGATCTCTTCCTTTTTCTAGACATATTTTTTCTCTTTTCAGAGATGTGAGCATACAATGTGCTCAGAGCCAGAGATTTCAATGATCTGAAACAACTGAATTCTTACTCTGTATAGTAGGTAATAGTGCTCTTTCTTTTTTTTTTTTTTACCTATTTAAACTATTTTTATTTATGTTTCGGTAACTGGTATAAAGCAGTTTACCTTTATTTTGCCTTAGGCATAGACATTTGTAGTTTTTCACAATAATTTAATTTTTTTTAAAATTTAGGTTGTTTATTTTTCATTTCAATGAACATCTACAGAGATTTTGGGATTCCATTCATTCATTGTTGCACCCTTCTCCCTGCACAAACCCCTCCCCCCTCCCCCCCCATTTGCTCTTTCTTAAGGCCACAACAAATTGGATAAGGGGTATAGAGATAGGTGCTAAGAAATCTCATGAGAAATAAGCCTGGAAAAACTAAGCTATCAAGAACATAGGGGTTGAGGCAAAGAAAAGAATTAACAATTATGTGCTCTGAGCCAGATGCCTTTGACAACACATGTATTTGATAGTCCTGTGTAGTAATATCATTATCTCCATTTTGCAGCTCAAGCACTTTAGAGAGGTTAAGTAAATTATAAAGGGTCATCTAACAATAATGTACCTGAACATGAACCCTGCTCTATCTGACTCTAAAGTCTCTTGTCCTTCACTGGGCTGTTTCCCCTCCTACTTGGAGGGAAGGCTGAGAGAAGATGAAGATTTAGGGAGGTAGGGTTCAGGGGGACTCCTGACACATACATGACTTTGTTGTGTGCATAACAAGAATATCACATTCTTCTTCAGGGTCTCAGCTCTCCCATCATCTGCACCAACTTCATACTTTCCCCCCCGCAGTTGCCATCAAGTTAACTCCAATTCATGATGACCCCATAAGTATCAGAGTAAAACTGTGTTCCATAGTATTGTCAATGGCAGGTTTTCTTAGAAGTAGACCAGTATATTTTTCTTCCAAGACATCTCTGAGAGGATTCAAAATTCCAGCATTTCAAGTAGCAGAAAACACAGAAACCATTTATGCTATCAAGGGAGTCTGTACTCCAGGCTAGATTTTGCTTAGATTGGAAAGACCTTGATCATGCTGAGGTCAGGTACAAGTTAACTTTTCTTGGTTTTCTTTCTAATCTGATCGCATTGTAGGTGTATTTGTGTCCACGACACATTCATATGGATTTTATTAAAGTTAGTAAGTGTCAAGGACTACAAACAAATGGCAAAACTAGTTGAACGTCTGAGCCTATCATACAGGGATGGGATCCATGGTTACAGCTTCTGGACAAACTCATGATGCACATGCCAAGAAGGCCCTCGATGCCCGTGCTGGGTCCCATCTTTTCTCTTCACTCTGCTGGAGGGAGTGGGCCACCAAGTGACCCAAAGAAGAAAGCCTTTGTCATAGCATGTGTCACAATCAATTTTTAAAAGTTATAAACAGATGTTATTTTTGTTGTTGGGTAACGTCAAGTCAGAATTTACCCGTGGCTGACTCTCCAGTGGGTTTTCTGAGGCAGTAAATTGCAGGGGAGGAAATTGCCATCTTTCTCCCACAGACCAGCTGGAAGATTTTACCCACATATCTTTCTTTGCATTGGCAGCACAATTCCTTACCAACCAACCACCAGAGCTCCCATAAATGGATAGAAATTAGTATTTATTAACCTGGAAAAGGGGAAATTATCTCTGAGGTGAATGACTAACTCTTGGAATATCTTCAGGGTTAAAATATATGTACATGTCCACTGACAAAGCCATCTAGGTGTTGTGGTGTGTTTATTTTTAATATTTGCTCCAACAAATGAGGAAATCTCACTCTCTGCATGAAGCTGAATCTGCTGCTTGCCCCACTCCTCACCCTGCCTCCCACTCCACCTTAGACTGCAGAGATCGAAAGAGGTCTTAGCTTCTCGGCCCCTCCTCCTGGCAAAGGGTTTCTCTGCTTATTCTTCTTAAGGCTCCCTTCTTCCCATGCTCCCCATCCTCACCTGGCGTTCCTGCATAGCCCTTGGTCTTGGTCTCATCGTCCTTCAACTCCACCGCCAGGCCAAGGTCAGAGATTCGGATATTGCCTGAAAAGCAAACACGGACTGAGGTCAGACATGGTCCCAAAGGACAGAGGAGTGTGACAGCCCACAGCCTTGCAGGAGCCAAGCACCACCCCTGCACACCCCTGGGCAGTGCCACGGGCAGCCAGGTCACAGCAGGCCAGGTGCCTGGGGGACGACTTTCCTCCTTCCCTCCCCAGCTAGAGTGCAGAGTGGTCCAGAGGGGACCGAGAGAGTCAGGGAGGCCCACTGCTTCACTAGCTGTACCACTATGGTGCCTCTTAATAGCTAACTATATAGGGTGTTACAAGTTAGGCTGCAAACTCAGATGTCAGTGTTTGGAATTCACCAGCTGCTCTGCCACAGAAAGATGGGCAGTTACCTCCAGTAAAGATTTAGAGCCTCAGAGACCCAGTGGAGGATCACTATGAGTCAGAACCAGTGGGTGAGGGTGTTAGATAAGCTATACAGGGAGATCTGGTGGCCTAGGCAGTAGGAAGTTGTACTGTTAACCCAAGGGCCACATCTCTCCGGCAGTTCAAATCCACCAGTGACTCTGCAGGGGTGAGGGGGGAAAATAGGGATTTCCAATCCTTCATGATTTACAACTTCGAAACTCTAATGAGAGATCAACTATGAGTTGGTTCCTATTCAACAGTAGTGAGTTTAATGCAGGCTTTAAAATTTATCTTCTGTAAAATGTATCAAAATCTGTTCCCTCTTCTTAAAGGTGGGGATCATAGGCTCCAGAAACAAGCTGGTAGGGAGCATCGTGGCTGTACTGATTGGCACCGTCGCCCCCAGATCTGGAGGGAACCCCGTGTGGGGAGAGACTACCCCTCACCATCGTTGTCCAAGAGGACGTTCTCAGGCTTGAGGTCCCGGTAGACGATCCTGTGCTGGTGCAGGTGCTCCAGGCCACTGATGATCTGGGCTGTGTAGAAGATGGCACGTGGCTCCTCCAAGCCGGGGTTCTCCTCATTGACATTGTAGATATGGTACCTGGGGGTGCAGACCACCGTGGGAGAGCTAGGCCCTTGTCTAGGCACAGCTACTGTGATTGTGGGGGGTAAGGGCACTAGGAACCAGAGTGTAGGCTTCACAAGCAAACTGTATGGACAGTTGGGCCACAGGGACCTTTGTCTGGCTGTGCAGATTCCTCTCCTCAGCATCGCGTCCAAAAAAGAAGCCAGAGGCACTGCCCAGACTGGTGCTTTTAATGTTCTCAAAAGTACCTACCCAAAACTATTAACGAGGAGATGAGGGATGACTCAAATGCAATGTGTCCCACTTTCCTTTCCTTATGCTGGCCAGAAAGGCTGGGCAATAGACCCTAAAGCCATTTCACTATTGCCTTTGGAGTGAATAAAGGGGCAGAGAAAGGTGAAAGAAATATAGATTCACAGTCAAATGGAATTTCTTTCTCTTGATATTTTGCATATATTTTATATATTACATAATATAAATGAGAGATATATTAAGTGCATATATAATCTCTGTAACCTGGATTCACATTCAAAATGGAATATACCTTGAGATGTTATATATATAACTTATTTCTCATGAGATTACATATCTATAATCTTGAGAGAATATATATCATATATTCTTGAGATACTATATATATAATCTTGAGAAAATGTATACTATATAGAATACACATATGTATTTATGTATTTCATAAACTCGGGTGATTGTCTACGATGGAAGGCCACACGTCTCTGGAGGTTCTAATCCACCGGTGGCCCCACAGCAGAAGGAGGGCAATCTCCTCATGAGACTTACAGCTTCTGAAAACACTGGAGGGTCAACTATGAATCCGTTCTAACTCGATGCTATGGCAACAACTGACTTTTTCCTGATCTTTATAACTAGGAGTTTTTTTCCTGTGATTACAATTTACAGAAAAAACAAAATCCAATTAATGAAAAATCTTAGGATGGTACAATGGACAAAACAGCTAACCTAAAACTCGGAAGTTTAAGCTCACTAGCAGCTCTATGGGAGAAAAATGTGGCAGCCTGATTCTGTACGGAGTTTCAGCCTTAGAAATTCTATGGAGCAGCTCTGCCCTGTCCTATACCAACTGGAGTACACTTGATGTTTAGTGAATGAATAAAATGGGATAAATTATTTAAACTAGAGAAACAACCAGAAAGGGTAGAGATGGATTAGATTACCAGAGATATCCTTCAAATTAGAGCTGAACACAGGTAGGTAGGAAAATGCCGTAAGTTATTTTAACATTCCATTACTATTTCCCCTCTCCTAAAAGTACTTTATCTGCAGTTCCTAACATGCTTTTTCTCCTCTTTTTGTGACCTTTTTTGGACTATTCCGTTTAGTTCTCAGATTTCTCATTTGTAAGAGGGACCCATTCAAACTTAATGGGTTTAATTTAACTTCACTCAACATTGTTCAACGGAATGAAAACCAAACAAGAAAATAAATTAGCAGGGTCTTCCAAATAACAATTGCAGTAGCCTGTTCATATTTAACCTCACAGGTGCCAGCCACTCTTCTGAGTGCTCCACATGGATTAGCTCACTTACTTCTCACAACAACTTCAAACTTGGATATTATTCTCCTCATTCTTTACATCCCCATTGTATAGATCCATAAACTGAGGTTTTAAAAAAAAAGATATTCCTTTGCTCAGCTAATATATCAGTTCATTTTCCCTCTTTCATCCAAAAATTGAAATCAGGTTACTAGGCTGGAAGCTAATCAGGTTTTTATATAATCTGAGTCTCTGAAAGAGCCCAGAGACCCCTCCCCTCTCCAAAGCTCAGGGCCTGACTCTCAGATCTAGGACAAAGCACAGCATAGGACAAATGCTGACACGAAAGCTCCTCCTCTCTGTCAGGTACCAAGAAAACCCTGGCTCCTCAACATTTAGTGCCTCACTCTGGAGTGTCCCTTCACAGAATGGAGACATTGGCCACATCTGTCTGCATTTGCCATTCGTCTCAGTGGACAACCTTTGGCAGTCTTTCATTTTCTCACTTCTACCCTATCATCCATTCACCTAAATAGTACTTCTTGCTTCACCACTCTACCCACAGAGTTGTCTGCTCCTGCCATGTACCCCTACCAATCCCACCTCCCTAATTTCAAAACAAACCCATCTTAGGAAAGGAAGCAACACAGTGATTGACAAGGACATACTAGTGGCTAAAAAGACACACTCCTTTCAAGTGTACCTGCCTTTCTTAAGAGACCAAGGACATGACATTTCAGGTGTCAGTTCTGGAGGTCAGGAAGAGAGGATTTTAATTGAGCCACACGGCTTTCTCTTTGTCCTCAAATGACATGTCCAGAGCAGAGAAGTAGGAATCACCTTCCATTGCGTCCCGGAGATCCTCTCTCCGAGTTCAGACCATTAGGCCCTCTCTATCCCGGGTCACAGGTGCATTTACCTTATGTCGCCTCCATTCATGATGGTCATCACCAAACAGAGGTCGGTTTTGGTCTCAAATGCATAGGCCAGAGAGACTATAAACCTGCTATGTACTTTCGCTAGAATCTTCTTCTCTACCATAGCACCCTGAAAAGCAAGATATTGAATAAATACCCAAGTTTAGGTGGGAAAGAAGCATCACCATAAAATATCACGAGCTACACAGCATTGCCTACTGCTTAACATCCATACACACAAACATACACAAATTATAGGAACACAGTTGCAAATAAGGGTGCTCTGTGGACCTAGTGGGTAAGGAGTTCAGCTGCCAACCAAAAGGCAGGTGGTTCAAGAGAGGACAATGGGCAATCTTTTCTCATGTAATTTACAGCCTTTGAAAGCCTGCTGGAGAGTCAGCGATGCATCAATCTCCATGCAATGGCAATGACAGAGAGAGTTGCAGATATGTTTGTGAAATCATTTGCAGAAAGCAACTGTGGATAACTGATGAGAAGGTATCACTCTGCCCATTGTACAGAGTGAAAATCTGACATAGCAGATTCTGTACAGGTATATCTAAGAAACAGTACCAGTTCCATCCCAGCCCACCCAAAAGAAATTCAGTGACACATTCTTTCTGGTTTCCCAGAGCATAGAAATACTACACACATCATACTAATTCTATTATGTGTACAGTAACATGGTGATGAAGTTTAAAATGTTGAGAGAATTCTTAAAAATGCAATACACAAATACGAAGTAAGCACATGCTATTGAGGAAATGGCACCAATTCACTTCCTTGGCAGAGTTGCCACAAACTCTAATTTGTAAAAAAGAAAATGTCTACTCCAAGCTGCCAGTTGTTTTAAGGCATCACATTAAGATTGCTGCTTCCCTTGAGCCCATGCCTCGTTCCCTTATTGCTTTTCTTTACGTCCAGCCAGCTCATCCTTCTCTTTTCTTGTTCTGTCCTCCGAGAAGTGCTGTATCCTCACATCTCCATCTCATTTTTTATCTTTTTAAAAAAATCTCACAACGCTCCATTTAAACATGTCTTCAAAAGCTGTGTATCAATAAGGGACATTTCATGCTTTCCTCTTTTTAAAAAATTTTTTATCATTTTTTTATTTTGTGTGTGTTTACTGTCAAATCAGATCTGACTGGTACAGGAGGAGATTGCACCTCTTTCTCCAGCAGAGCATCTGGTGGATTCAAACCACATACCTTTGACATTGCGGTGCAGCTTCTTGCTACTAGGCCACCAGAGCTCCCGCTTCCTTTCCTCTTAACACCAAGCATTTCTTGGTGTTAAGGAACTTTTATACCTATACAACTGCATGAAAATATTTTAGATTGATTCTATTTTGTATTAGATTCAACTGAACTACTGAAGCTGAAATGAAGAGATTCTAGACTTCTAATGCATCTGAAAGTTGCACAGTAAATCAGGGTGATAGAGAAGTGATGCGTTTGAATTGTGGTGTTGGAGAAGTGAAACTTTATCTCACATACTTTGGTCATGTTGTCAGGAGGGGTTCGTCTTTCAAATAGAGTATGCTGAGAAAGGTGGAGGATCCGAAAAAGAGAGGAAGACCCTAAAGGTGGATTGACACAGAGGATAAACAATGAGGTCGAACAAGTCTGAGATCATGTGGATGGTGCAAGATAGGGCAAAGGTTCAACTCTGTTGTTCACAGGATCTCTATACTGGTACCTAACAACAAGAGTACTCGATTCACGTTATAAGGGGTAATTACTTCCACTGTGAGGTCTTACAGCACAAAACACTGGATTTTACTGGATACATTCACTCAACTGGCTGACATAAGCATCTGGTAGTTAGTTAACTTTTCAGGGAGATAAACTGGGACAATTGTTGCCACAATGGACTTGACCATGCTGGCAACAGTAAGGATGCTGTGGGCCCAGGCACCATCACCATTTGTCATTCACAGGATCGCAATGAATCCAAGCCAACTCAATAGCAGGTTAACAGCTGGCTACCTGATCTATAGCTAAGGAGCCTAAATAGTAGGTGTGACTGGCCCCTTGTCAAGGAAACCCTGCTGACAGACACTCTGGGGTAGTTGTGGTTTAACACTCAACACCTTTCCCCTCACCATTATGTGCACTGTGTAATTTGAAAGAGCAAAGGCGAGCCACAGTGGCAGAATTATGCCACTAGGACAGTTGCTTCATGAGATGTGTTCGTAAGACACAGTAAGCAGCTTTCAGTGATCCTGTCCTAAAGGACATTCTGAGGCCGGTTAGGGAGAGAGGATAAAATTTAGTGCAACCTGTATGTGTTTCCAGGGACTCAGAGTCCCTGAAAAATAGCTGCACATGGAGTGCAAAACATCCCCCCACACCCGTGATGTGGAGCATCTCTGTCTCCTGCAGACGTGCCAAAGACAAAATTGACTGCAGGAGAGAAGAGGCGTATGGATTCTCTCTACCTTATGTATTACCTCTCCATAAATCTCAAACTGCTCAAAAAGAGGAATCTCTTTGCAATAAGTGATATTTGAATAATGCAAGTCCTGCCACAATTGTGCGTATGTGCATTTTACACCACAACACAATCGAAAGGTTTGGGGAAAGTCTTTTAGAAAATGAAAGTACAGAAAAATGAATGATATCCTTAACAGCTACCCCCCTGTAAGGCACTCTTCCCCTTGAACTTGCGCTAATATGTCAGTGATTTCAACAAAACATACAAACAAAAATAAGCCAACATGGGGCTCATCCACATCAAGAAAAAGCGCTAGAGTTGGTCTCTGAGAAGGGAAATCTGCAAGGCTTCCACATTAACAGAAGCAGGATCACAGGACTGGAAGGAAAGTTTGTGCATCCTCCTAACTCCAAACTGTGGCCAGAAAATAGAACTGAGACATCACACACACACATACACACGCGCGCGCGCGAGACTAAATTTGATGTGCAGTGGCCTAGTAGCAAGACACTGCACTGCAATCCCAAAAGGACACAGTTCAAATCCACCAGCTGCTCCACAAAAGAAGGATGGGCAATTTCCTCCTGTGCAATTAGCTGCCTCTGAAAACCCACCAGAGGGTCAACTATGGGATGGTTTTGACTCCACGGCACACAACAACAACAACAATTTACATCTTATACACAAGTAAATACAGATGTTCTAGCAAATGAGCTAATGACCACACAAGTGAACAGGGTCTGGAAGGGTTTTCTCTACCTCCAGCATACAAGCCAGCTAAGAGGGGTCATTCGGAGGGAGACACAGGACACTGACTGATCCCCTACATTCTAATTCATAGTCTCTAATACTCACTCTCCAGCCCCGCCCACCCCACCCAGGAATCTAAAAGCCATTTACTTTGCACTTGCTGTGAACTACTGCGGCTGCTTACTTGGTACCCCTTCCTTTTCTTCAGCCTCTTCTTGTTCAGTTTTTTACAAGCGTACATCCTACCAGTGGCTTTCATCTGGCAGGCTGACACTTCCCCAAAGCCCCCTTTCCCCAGGATCCTGAAGTCCAGAAACCAGTCTTCTCCCATGGGCTGGGCCTCTAGCCACTTCCACTGGAGGAACCTCAGGAAATAGAGACTCTCCAGGTATTCCTGGAAGGGGGCCTGGCTCAGATGCAGCATGGTGGCCTGCAGGACGGGCTGGAAGAGTCCGTCCTGGACGTCTGTGTGCGCCTCCTTCACCTTCGCCACCATCCCTTCATCCAGAAAGCTGCAGAAGAGCTTGGCCTGAGGGGTCAAGTAGTCGGCCACAATGCCCTGGGCCTTCTGCAACCGGAAGTCAGAATCGGCGGTGTCATAGTCCTCAATGTCCTTCCAGAGTTCCAGGGCTGGCACATACCTCTCATCAGCCTTTAGAAACTGCTGGAAGAGCCGCTTACCGATGGGCTGCTCTGAACACACACTGTCAAACTCAAGGTTGAGGCTGTCTCGGAGGGATTCACATTTGGAGAGTGGGGGCAGCTTGAGCTTTGCGAAGTACTTCTTGTCCCGTGAAGGCTGGGCGTTGCTCCCGTCGAAACTGCCCCTCGCAGCAATGTAGGCAGAATTGGCCACCACAGTCTCCAAGGACCCGAAATCCATCCTGGTGCTGGTCCCTGGCCTGCTTCAGACGTGAAAAGCCATAGGCCAATGCTGAGTCCACAGAGATTCCAGATGAGGAATGACCTGTTGTCCTTGGCCTGTGGCACCTGGCCTGCCCTGAAGGGGACAAGGAAGCTATCCCAGCCCGTGCAATGGACTGAGACTGGGAAAGTCCCAGGAACCTCAGGGGCTGAAGCTGCTTCTGGCTAAAGTCCAGGTCCCTGGGGTGTTAGGGAGGGTGAGTTAGAGGTGACAAACAAAAAAAGACAATCCCCTAAGCCATCTCCTAAACGGATTAGAAAGATAAGTCAACTCCCTCCCATCTCTTCCCTGGGGGATGCGTTTGTTTTTCTGTCAGAAAGAATAAGCACCGTTAGCCCCTTGGTGTACACAGCTGAAGCGTTCATTCGGAGGACGCGTCCTTCAGTTCAACCCTCTGGCTTAACCAAACAGGCTAGTATGACTGCTTGTGTCCTGGCAAGAGCAATGTGAGTGTCTTAGAGAGACCTAAACTCTGCTGATAACAGGCCTGAGAGGGCCCGTGTGGACGGGAAGGAGGTGGGCTCACGGAGACATCTTCAGTCAGGAAAGAGTGCTGCTGAGTGGGTCCCCCCTCCTGCTGTGTTTCATTATCTTTAAAAACTATGTAAAAAGAAAACAGTGTTATAGTAGGAATTCAGGGAGCGAAACAACAATCAAACGCTTCCTTAGCACGTCCTTGGTTGAAACCATTGACTCAGCTAATCTACACTGTGCTCTCTGTCAGTGTGTGAGGACTGATAACACATCTTGATGTGCTACTGTTGAGGTTTTCAATTATCCATGAGAGCAGTTGTGTTCCCTGTCACACTAGAACTGATTTAAGGACTAACGAGCAACGTTGACATGAAAGTCTATATTGAGAGCAGCGACCTACTGTGGAATTCAGCTCTCCTTACTTGGCAGCTTCTCATCTTGGTTTGTGGCAAATCAGAGTCACCAGTGTTCAGATGAGATTAGGGAAGGGAAGCCATTATGAACTGTGTCCAAAGGGTTTTCAGTGTCTGCTTTTTAGATCTTTGTTCTAAGCCATTGCTAGGTGGATTTGAACTGTCAACTTCTTTAGTAAGCAGGATTTTAACCATTTGGCTAACCCAGGGGCATCTGCATACACAATCCCCAAAACCCCTCTGTTATAAAGTCAGCTCTGACTCTTAGCAACCCTCCAGTGGGTTTCTGAGGCTGTAAATCATTATAGGAGGTGATGGTCCATCTTTCTTCAAAGGAGTAGTAGTTGGTGGATTCGAACTACTGACCTTTTAGTTAGCAGCCCAATGTTATGCACTATGCCAACAAGCTTCCTTTAGTACATAGCTGTGCTTGTTGTCTGTCATTGAGTTGGAACCAACTCATAGCTGTTCCTCCAGTGGGTTTTCAGAAACTGTAAATTACACAGAGTATATTTCCCTTATTTCTGCCACGGAGCAGCTGGTGGATTTGAAACACTTGTCTTTGGTCTGGGAGTGCAATTCCTTAGCACTAGGCCAACAGAGCTCCCTTTAGCATATAGCAGATACTCAACAAATATTTGTGAGAGAAAGTCAAAGACATTACTAGCTCAAAGGGGAGAGGTAGCAGAATAGGGTCTTCTTAGCCATTAGGAAAGTGGATCACATTGTCCTGAGAAGTCACAGTCCCTACAGTTTCCTAAAGATTTAATGTGGTTAGGTAAGCATTTGAGGTGAATAATAAAAAGAAAAATGAAAGTGAATCTTAACATTATTCTCCCTTTTCTAATCCCAGCCCTGCCACTTAATAGCAGATAACTTTGGGTTGATCCCTTTAACCTCCAAGTCATTTTCCCTAAAACAAACTACCCTTCAGAGTTGAAATGCAGCAATCATTTTCATGGTATAAAATGCACCAGGCTATTGTAGTGTTTCCCAAAGAGTGTCCTAGGTCAGTGCTTCTCACACTTGAATCTGCAGGCATATCTCTGGGAGATCTTGCTATAATACATATTCTACATTAGTGAGTCTGGGGTTGTTGTTGTTGTTATGTGCCATTGAGTCATATGATTCATAGCAAATCTCTGAACAACAGACCTGACCCCTGTCCTATCCTGTACCATCCTCATCTTTGACACACCTGAGCACATTGTTGCAGTCACTGTGTCAATTCATCTCATTGAAAGTCTTCTTCTCTTTTGATGACCCACCACCTTCCCAAGCATGATGTCCCTTTTTAAAGAATAGCTTCTCCTAACAACGTGTCCAAAGTATGAGAGATGAAACTTTGCCATCTTCGCATTTAAGGACCACTCTGGCTGCACCTTTTCCAAGACATATTTGTTTGTTCTTTGGGCAGTCCATGAAATAAATATTCAGTATTCTTCTCCAACACCACAACTTAAAGAAATTAAATCTTCTTCTGTCATCTTTAGTCATGTGTCAGATGCATAGCAAGTGATTAAAAAGGCCATAACTTGAATCAGGTGCACCTTAGTCTTCAAACTGACATTATTGCTCTTCAATATTTTGGAGAGGTCCCTAACAGCAGACTTGCCTAATGTAGTACATCTCCTCATCTCCTGACTGATGGTATCAAGGGTTATTCCTTGGATTGTTGACCCAAGAAAGATGAAATTACTGACAACTTCAATACTTTCTCCATCTACCATGGTGTTGCCTTTTGGCCCAGTGGTGAGGGTCTTCTTGAATTAAAAATGTAGAATAAATTATTTGCTACTTTATCCCATTTTCCTTTCTCTACAAATTTTAGGATAATTTTTTATATTGACAAAAAAAGTCATGCTGAGATTGTCACAGGAATTATAAATCTGCTTAACTATTGGGAAGAGTTGACTCTTTTCCATGTTCCAATCCATGAACATGCTCCCTTTGTTTACGTGAATGAACCTCTTGCCATTTATTTATGTCTCCTTTAATTTGTTATCAGTATAGTACAGTTTTCATTATAAAAATTCTTTATCTCTTTTATGAGATTAACATCTAAATCCTTTTTTAAAGGAGACATTGTTATTGATATTTTTAATTTCCATATCTACCTGTTCATTTCTAGTAATAGAATGTTGTTGTTGTTGTTATGTGCCGTCGAGTCGCTTGCAACTCATAGAGACTCTATTTACAACAGCCCTGAAACCTGCTCTAGCCTGTGACAACTTTACTGTCTCCGACACACCTACCCTCATTACCCCAGACACTGTATCAATCCAACTCATCAATGATTTCCCTCTCTCCATCCCTCCACCCTTCCAATCATGATGTCCGTCTCCAAGGACCAGTTCCTCCTTGTAACATGCCCAAAGTATGTCAGATGATGCCTCAGAATCCTTGCCTCCAGGGAGCAGGATGACTTCACCCTCCTTAGGACAAACTTTTTTATAGAGTCTTGGGAATTTTCTACAGACAACCAGATCATCTTCAGATAACAATAGTTCTGTTTCTTTTCTTTCTGCTTTGTATGCATTTCTTAAAAATTATTACACTGGCTAGATTTTGCAACATTTATTGAGTAATAGTGTTGAAATGAGACATTCTTGCCTGTTTTTCGTCTTATGAGGAAAGTACTAAGTCCTTCATTAATAAACTGGTAGCTGTAGTTTCTTTGTTTTGCTTTTCTTTTTTAATTTCCTTTCCCCATCTTGACAGTTGATGCTGCCTTTGATTTCAAACACCCACCAAAATTTCAGGGAATTGAAATGATTTCTTGGAATGAGCAGCAAATGCAACCATTATATATTTGCTTGGGATTAAAAGAAATCTTAGTTGTAGTTTTGAGTTGTTGTTTTTGGGGGGATTTTTTTAATCACTCTTCTTTGATAAATTGAGGAGGTTTTACGTCTATTCTAATTTTCCAAGAGTTTTGATCATAGACAGATGTTGAACTTTGTCAAATGTTACTCCTAGTGTGATTGACATTCATGCAATTTTTCCTCTTTAACCTCTTAATGTGCTACATTGCATTAATTGGTTTTAAAATATTGAATACGTTCTGTATTCTTGGAATAGTTCTCAATGGATTGCAATGTATAATTCTTTTCATACATTATTGGATTTAATTTGCTCATATTTCACTAAAAATATTGGCATCTATATTCATGAGTTTTCTTTTTTAGATGTCTGTCATCTATCTTTTGTATTGACCCTCTCTACTTTTGTTTCAAAATGACACTAGCTTCACAAAACTAATTGGGAATTGTTTCCTCCTGTATTTTTCAGGGAGAGGTTGCATACCCTCATTGTTGACTTCTCTAAACATTTGGTAGCATTTTGAAGTGAAACTGATTGTTGTCACATAACTTTTAAATTATTGATTCAACTTCTTCATAACTATGTTATCAGGTGCCATCAGTCTGTTCCAATTCATAGCAACTCTGTGTACAACTGAACCAAGCACCGCCCAGTCTTGCATCCTCTTCACACTCGTGGCTTGGTCTGGGCTCGTTCTGGCAGCCACTGCATCAATTCACCCCACCTCGGGGCTCTCTCCTCTTCGCTGACCTTCTACTTTCTCAAACAGGATGTACTTTTCCAGCAACTGGTGCCTCCTGATAACATACTCAAGATATGTGAGCTGAAATTTGCCATCTCATTGAAGGAGCATTCTCGCTGCACTTTTCTAAGACGGATTTGTTTGTTGTCTGACAGTCCATGGCACATTCAATATTCTTCCCCAACATGGTCATTCAAAAGCATTGGTTCTCCTTTGGTCTTCTTGATTCACTCAAGCTTTCATATATATAGTTACTGGCTATAAAGCTGGTAAAAAGATTTATTTCCAGTTGAATGAGTTTTGGGCAGTTTGTGGTTTGAGGAAATGACCGACTTAGTCTAAGTTGTCAGATTTATGGTTGTAGAATTGTTTGCATTCTTTCTTTCTGAGGTCCACAACACCTGTATTTACATCACATTTCATTCTTGATGCTGGTAAATCTGTATCATCTCTTTTTATTTTTTTATTTGTCTCTACTGATACAGATTTGTCGCTTTTGTTTGGAT